AATTTTACAAGATAATTTAAAAGGAAATTTTAAATGTTAATTTAAATGCATTTTTGTCATGTTAACGTTTTAAACCCAAAACATGTAAATATTATTTTAATAAAATATATATTATTCACATATTCATATTATTTTAAACATTGAGGGACTTTCCGGCTAAAATTCATCGGTTAAGTGTTTGAAAATGAATGAATGCATCGGAGAAATGTCAGATATTACTTTTAAAAACAATTATGTTTGTAAACAATTTTGTGGTTTCCGTTTTATGATTAATTCACAGAACGAACATGAAACATACGCACTATAAATAGAACAATGATCCTTTTAAACTTGATTTTTATTTTATTAATCACTATAAACACTATAATATAATATAATACCAATATATTATATATTTTACATTTACTAAACCAATACTTACAGAGTTTATCTGTGCTAAAAAAGAGTTTAATATTTGAATAATGATTTTTTGAGATCATAATTCTAACCTCACCTTTTTATGCAATTGTAAATGCAGTTTTGAATATATATATATATATATATATATATATATATATATATATATTATATATATATATATATATATATATATATATAAAACCTAGAGCTGAGATTAATATTATTACTAAAATTAATATAAAACTCACCAGTCTTCCGGGTTGAACCGCGTCGATATTCATTTTGCCGAGCTTTCGGCATCCTCTCTGATGCCTTCTTCAGGGCTTCCGAGGTTTCAGTCTCCCGACCCCCCAGACACTACTACACTGTTCACTTGTCACTACTACGGCACTGTCACTACTACGGCACAGTGCCGTAGTAGTGACAAGTGAACAGTGTAGTAGTGTCTGGGGGCTCGGAAGACTGGCACCTCGGAAGCCCTGAGGAAGGCATCAGAGAGGATGCCGAAAGCTCGGCAAAATGAATATCGACGCGGTTCAACCCGGAAGACTGGTGAGTTTTATATTAATTTTAGTAATAATATTAATCTTAGCTCTAGGTTTTATTGTACTAACCGCGGAAATCTTTTCGAACATCATATATATCTATATATATATATAATATATATATATATATATATATTATATATATATATATATATATATATATCTATATATATATATATATATATATATCTATATATATATATATATCTATATATATATATATATATATATATATATATATATATATATTCTTCTTAAGGTACCTGTCCGTTCCGAACGTTGGCGATCATTCTTCTGGCTAGATGACTTTGTTGGTTGCTATACGAACTGGCTGTGTTGACGTCTTTCTATACCATGCTTTCAGGTTAGCAAGCCAGGATATTCTTCTTTGTCCTGGGGCTCTTTTTCCTTCAATTTTACCTTGCAAAATGCATTGAAATAGCTCGTATCTACCTTGATTTCTCATTATATGTCCCAAATACTGCAGCTTACGGCTTTTCACGATGTTAAATAAATCCGCGGTTGTGTTCATCCTCCGCAGTACTTCTTCATTGGTGACTTTGACTGTCCATGGTATCTTCAGGATCCTTCTGTATAACCATAGCTCAAAAGCCTGAAGTTTTGATTGAGTTTCCGCCTTCAATGTTCATGTTTCTGCTCTATACATGAACACAGAGCTCATAGTCCAGAATGCACTTTTTGCCTTTCCTATGCGACATTTAATCTCTTGGGTATTGTCCCACGACTCATTGATTATAGTTGCCAAGTAGTTGTACAGATTTGCTCCAGTTATGTTTTCCTTGCTTATTATCATTAACTTGGTTTTGCTGGTGTTTATATCCAGTCCATATTTTCTACTTGTTTCCGTTATTTTGTTCATTGAGTTTTGAAGCCCTTGCATGGTATTGGTAAACACTATCGTATCATCTGCATACCGCAGGTTATTGAGCTTGACTCAATTTATTGAGATGCCTTCATCAATATCTTTTAGAGCCTCTTCAAAAATGTGCTCCGAGTACAGATTGAATATCAGTGGTGAAATTATGCACCCCTGTCTCACTCCCCTTAAGATTTTGACCTGATCTGTATATTCTCCATCTATTCGGAGCACCGCTGATTGATTCCAATACAGGTTAGCTATTATTTTTAAGTCTTTCCGTCAATCCCTGTCCTCTTCAGCACTTCCATCATTTGTTCATGCCTGACTCTATCGAAAGCCTTCTTGTAGTCAATCAGGCATGCAAAAACATTACAGCTGACATCTCTACATTTCTGAAACAATACCTGCACGCTAAATAAAGCTTCCCTCGTACCAACGGCGTTCACAAATCCAAACTGATTGGCCGCAATTTGTTCCTCGCATTTCCGGTAAATTCTTTTGTGGATGACTTTTAAAAACAGCTTCAGCAGATGGCTCATTAGGCTTATGGTCCTATAATCTTCACAAACTTTTGCTCCTGGTTTTTTGGGCAATGGTACGAACTCCGATTTGAGCCACTCTACTGGTATTTTTCCTGCCTTGTATATTTCATTAAATATTTCAGTTATTATTTTTATTTGTTCTGCATCTAATAACTTCAACAGTTCTGAAAGACTTTCATCAAGCTCCGGTGCCTTTCCATCCTTCATTTGTCCGACGGCTGCCGTTATTTCTTCTGGCAGGATTTCGGGTCCTCAATTTTATTCAATGGTGGGCTCTTGTATTGTTCTAAGGTCATGAAAAAGTTTCTCGCAAGTATTCTTCCCATATTTTTTTTATCTTTTTTGGTTATGGCAAGATTGCCTTCATCATCTGTTATTTTTCCGTTGTTGCGTATTCGAAACTTTCCAGCTATTTCCTTCACCTTTCGATGAACATTGAAGTTATCATATCGACTCTGATACTTCTCTATTTCTTGACATTGTTCTGTTTTTTGTTTCTCTTTGACTTCTCTTATTTTTTTTCTGACGATGGTATGTATTCTTTTATATTCTTGGAGATTTTCTTTGTTTTTTTTCTCTGATTCACAAGTTCAAGTATTTCATCGGTCATCCACGATTTCCGTTTCTCTGTATCTTTCTTCAGGTGTTCTTTTATTTCTCTCACCGTTTCTTGTATGATGGTCAGACTTTCCTCTATAGTTCCTGCATTTTTGAATTTTAGCACCTTTGTATTGAGGTTTTCACTCACATTCCGTCGAACATTTTGATCTTTCAGTTTTTTAACATACTTCTTCAATCTTCTTATTTGTAACCTTCTTCATTCTGACTTTGAAATTACCTACAACTGGTACATGATCAGAATTTATGTCTGCCCCTGGGTATGTTTTGACAAATGTACAGCTGTTCCTATACCTCTTGTTTACTAGCATGTAATCAATCTAATCTCTTACAATCCTTCCCACAGAATCCTGTGGAGATTTCCAGGAGTACGTTTCCTTAGGCGTAGCTTAAACCAGGTGTTCTTTGGTCTTGCTTTTTCAACCTTTTCACGACTAGATTAATGCTATGGTATAGTTCTCCTATATCTTATGTTCCTTCTGTTGTAGGTGCATACACTTGAATTATATTGATGTCGATTGGTCTTGCTTTTAGTTGTATGATCTCAGTCTTGCAGAGATTGTTATCTATTCCAGAATAGTAAACGCGGTGTTCCCCGATATTTGCGGTTCCTGAACCTGGCCAACGCATTTCGCTTATTCCCAGAATATTTAATTTCATGTTTGCCATTTCTTGTATTGCATTATGGAGTTTACCTTCCTGTGCCATGGTTTTCATGTTCCATGTGCCTATTCTGATGTCTTCTTTGAATTTTAATCTTTTTGTTATACCTGGAACTGCTCCTCCCGGAGATCCGATTGAGGAGCTTACTCCGGAATTGGTTTTCGTTGCGAGCATAGTCATTTGATTCTACTAGGACTTATCCAATCCGGATCTTTAATGAGGTGTCTTGTCTCAATCTTTCTTCCTCTATGCCGTTGATCGCTTCCAAAGTTTTTCCGCCTTTGAAGCCAGTTTCTTAACTCCAGGACAAAGGGGTGCCCTACCATTTACTAGCTCCTCCACCCGAAGCTGTTGGTCAGTAACGAGGGATTGCTGATACCGGCAATCGCTCGGTGGAATTTTCGCCATATCTGGCTACCCTCACTTAGTTTAGCCTGCAGACTAACGCAGTTGCCCGGGGTGTGGCACGTGGAGTCATAAGTGAGTGTTAGTTGTCTTGTGAGGACCAGTTATCAAGAACCATCTCCCGTCTATGACACTCGATGTGGTCGTTCCGATAAAACGTGCATCTCTATAACACAGCTCTACTCCCATATTTATATACTATTTTAATAGTATTATTGTTTTATAGAAACGTTTTATAAAACTAAGTAATACGTCGTAACAATATGTGGAATAAAAGTACTACCTACATAAAAGTTTCTTTCTATATAGCTAGACCTTATAGCTGAAATCCACAGTTCACATTGATGCTTTGTATGACTTTGACTCGGCAATCGATAAAAAGTGCAACCACTTTTACTCTAACTGTAGCAGTACTGTACAAATATTACCTAGCATAGATTGTTTTGAATAATTATATGTATAATTATTATAAGATGAAAATCTTACGGTTTTGACAAATTTGGCCGATATGAGCGCATTAGACGTGACTTATATCCCCTCTCGTCAGTCGTCAGCTGCACAGAACGAACTTGAATTGTGCAGAAATTTCAACAAAAGATAATTCATTAATGATTTGGTCATAAATTTGTTTATTTACCTAAAATTCTAATTGATCCTAAAATCAACAATTAGCGGTATTCAGACATTTTAAAACATTTACCGAATATTTCTTTTAAATTTGCCGAATAAATATATTTTGCAGCTTTAAAACGTGTTCTCGTTAAGTAATCGTAGTAATTGCTTGTGGTTTGATTTCTTTCGTCCTAATTAATCAAGTATTCTTCTAGTTTAGCTCCTGTTTTGGCAATTATTTTCTCTTTTTTACTAGTGTGCCATAAACTAATAATTCGAAGTTGATTCTCTTAATTTATTGGGCCACCTGTACTAACACATTATTTTTTGTTTCAGATATCTTGATGAAAACAAAGAGAAATATATAGAAAACTTAAGGCAAGTTGTTGCTATCCAGTCAGTGTCCGCATGGCCAGAAAAAAGACCAGAAATAACCAAGCAAATGAAATGGGCCTTAGAACGTTTACAAGCTTTGGGAGCGTCCGCAGAACTACGAGATGTTGGAACCCAAACTCTACCTGATGGACAAACTTTGCCTTTACCTCCTGTCTTATTCGGGTCATTGGGCAACGATCCTAAAAAGAAGACTGTGTTAATTTATGGGCATTTAGATGTTCAACCAGCACACAAGAGCGATGGTTGGGACACCGAACCTTTTGTGTTGACAGAAAAAGATGGTAAACTGTACGGAAGAGGGGCTTCAGATGATAAAGGACCCGTTTTGTCTTGGTTGCATGCTATTGAAGGATTCCAGGTGAGCGTTGTTACAGTATACTTTTCCTGATTTACTTTATTTCATATAGATTGCCTGTTTTGACATTTAGAATCAATATACTAATTTGATTTAGAGACTGATTTATCGCTATTCTTATCGATCTATATATTAGGTCATTCTATTTTTATTACAATCATATTGTTTTCATTAAATTGTCGATATTGTCAATTGAAGAGTGGAAATTAGAGAGAGCTAAAAACAAAGTTTTAAGATAAAAGTTTTACACCTAGAAGGAATAAATTCTTGAACTTAATTTTTTGGTAACAGAATGACTATATTTAAACCTTGCTATGATAACAATATCAGTGTTTTATCTTTTCTAGTTTTTGTAAAAATACAGTTTTATCTTAATTTTTTTTTGTGAAATACCGATTTGTGAAAATCCGGTTCGTATACAAACTTTTAGTTATTATTCCTCAGTCTATTTGTATTCAGTGTAAGAAAATGTCTCGAGTTCGAAGACATCAAAATTGCCACCATGTAAGCGATTTTGATAGGGGCAGAATTATTGCGTATAGAGATATGGGTTTGTCGTATTAGTCCGTAGTGTTAATTGTACCGCAATGACGGTTATGCGTGTATGTCGTGTGTGGACAAAAGAAGATAGAGGAATACGAAGAATACCAAGTGGTCAACCGATGCGTACTACAGAGCTTCGAGCTATTCGAGCTTTTGGACTGGTTTCATTCCGCCCACGACTAGTGTTTCCTTTGACTGCGGACCACCGTCATCAAAGTTTGAATTGATGCAGAGAACGGCAGCATTGGGTGGCAGAATGGCGTAATGTAGCATTCAACGATGGATCATGATTCTGTTTAGGAATGCATGATGGTTGAAGGATGGTAAGACGCCCCAACGGGATATGGGGTTTGCTGTTAAGAAGCATGTACATAGGACAGCTAGAGCAATGACAGCTACGCGTTATGTTGATGACATCTTCTTCTTCTTGATGTGCCTATCCATTACGAATGTTGGCAATCATCATAGCAATCTTTATCTTATCTGCAGCAGCGTGGAAAAGCTGCACAGATTGTATATAACCAGATTCTGAGGTTCTTTAACCAAGATGTTCTTCTTCTTCTTGGACCTCGTTTTCCAAATATTGTTCCTTGCAGGGTGGCTTGAAGGAGAGCTTATCTGGATTTATTTCGCATAATATATCCGAAAAATTGTAACTTTCGAGGTAATTATTCATTCTTCTGGGGAACTCCTCATTTGTGACTCGGTCAGTCCACGGGATCTCAAGTATTCTCCCATATAGCCACATCTTAAATGCTTCCAGTTTTCTGGATATATCTTCGTTCAAGGTCCACGATCCAACACCATAAAAAAGGACAAAGAAGACGTAGCATCGCAGTATTCTTAATTTTGTGTCAAGAGGGAGGTTGTGACTCTTGAAGAAGGCCCCCATCCGATTAAAGGTAGATCTACCTTTTCCGATGACATCTCGACGGCCGTCAAGACGTCCTTTTTGAGTTAGACAACGCGCATCCTCATATTGCTCGTTAAACTATGGACTTTCTCCAACAAACTGGCGTTAATATTTTGCCGTGGCCCCCCGTGCTTCTGATTTAAATCCTATCGAACATGTATGGAATATGGTGGGAAGGAGACTGTCCACTTTGCACCATCCTCCTCAGACTCTGGCACAGTTAATACATGAAGTTAAAGTTGTTTGGAACGAGGTGCCACAAGCAGACATCGATCATCTCATTTTGTCAGTGCCTAGACATATACAGGAGTGCGTTCAGCCACGGGTCATCATCATCATCATCAATGGTGCTACAACTCTTCGTGAGTTTTTGCCGCGTTTACTATTGCCTTCCATGTTTGTCGGTCCTGTGCCAGTAATTCCCATTGTCGCACTCCCATTTTCTCTAGATCTTCTTTGACTGCATCTTTCCACCCTCCTTCCGGCTCGAGGAGATAAGAATACGGCCGGGGCCAGAAGACCCTGCCTGTCGCAAGAGGCGACTAATGGGCGGATATGAGAGGTGGAGGGCCGTCGTTTGAGGTGTCGGGTTGGTAGAAACGCACAGAGATGCTTAGTCATCTCAGTCACCGGTCTACATTCCTAGTATCCGAGACGAGCGCCTCGTGGGACCACTCTACTCTCATTTTCCACAAGAGCCGGGTGTGGTTGAACGAGCCAGGTACGGAGGTTCCCCGGAAGCTGACACCGCGGAAGGGGAACGGGTGACCCAGCGCGTAACCACACCTCGGAATGATTTAACGAGTGGTAGAGGAGTGACTCCTCGGCGGCGACCTGTCTACGTGCGAGGTGGTATTCCACCACCTGCGTGCCTTTCCGCCTCCGGGGGAGGACTCACGGAAGGGTGGCGTGACCCGCAACACAGGTACTACGGGGGAGGTGGAGCCCCACGATGTGCTGGCATCGTGCCACCTCCACTTGGTGTCGGACTCGTAGGGGCAGTGGCGTGCGCTAACGGTCGTATGCCGAAAGGCCAGGTAGACCAGGGTCCTGCCAATTCATTTTGGAGGGCACAAAGCTAAGCAATGCATCTTTCCACCTTTTTCTAGGCCGCCCTACAGACCTTCTTCCATCTGGCCTTTCCCAGAACACATTCGTTTGTCACGCTGTCTCTTCAAGGGCCATATATCATTCGAAGAATTTTACGTTCCCACACACCAGCAATGTATTTACTTCTATTTTTGTTAGCGTCCATGTTTCGCTTCCATACGCGACTGCTGGTCGTAATATGGTCCGTTATATATCCGGATTTTTGTACCTCGTGAAAGAAGTTTTGACTTCATTGGATGTTGCATTGCAAATAAAGATCTGTTTCCTGCCATTATTCTCGTTTCAACTTCTCGCTCTAATTTATTGTCATTGGTGATTGTTGCTCCTAGATATTTAAATTCTTTAACCACTTCGAAGTTGTAATCATTTATAGTAATGTTTAGCCACGGGGCCGCCAAACACATTATTATTATTATTATTTTATTACTTGTTAATAAAATTTCTTGACAACGTTATCGTTTCATTCTTGATGTCAGTCTACCATGTTGCCAAAAAATTAAGTTGCTAAAAAATTAATTAAGAAATTATTCCTTCTGGGTGCAACACTTCTAATGTTACTGAGTATATTTAGCATAAAATGGAAAATCTATCCTAAAAAAGCTAATTGCAAAAGTAACTTTCTATACCTGAAAAAACTATTTTGAAGAAGTAAATTATGAAAGGGCGTAAGTGCCTTAGCTTTTATAAGATGCATTTTAGAGACCTTTCCTGTTTTGGTATTCAGAACAGTTAACAGTTAACAACAGGTAACAGTTGGTATTCTGAACACTGTAGATATGAAATCATGTTTTTGAAGTGACATCTTTTTATTTCCTGACACCCTATTCTCTGGTGGCAGTTTGACTATATCAGCTTGTCTAAGTTCACCTAAAATTTTCTCTTTCTTTACGACGTTAACCTGCACCGTTTCTTGAAGATCAGAAAATGAAGTTTTATCTGGTGCAGGATTCACTGCTTGGATCATTATATATGTAGCTGTACTGATATTTAGCTTTGTAATGTTAATCTGTTCATCTGCTGCTCGTTTTAGGTCGCAAAATCCATAACTTGTTATGTCAAAAATATTAAAAGGTGGAGAATATCTTGCTGGCTTAACTGCTGCATGGAGGTCTGATGCACATAAACTTTAGTTACCATCTTGCGTTTTTCGATAAATGCAAAGTCTCGGTCACAGGGCATAAAGCTGTGCAAGATTCTTTTGATCAATTGAAACGCCGCGCCGTTAGCTAACATCAATTGTGACGGGTAGCTCTGTTAGACAGCAGACTCAGTAAAATACAGGTTTAATTTAAATAAAGATTAATTCGAACTAAATAAATACCAAAATAAAATCAGATACTAGGTAGATAATATATACAATAAAAAATTTAAATGTCAATCCTTGGCGACGACGTTATTAACATATTCAGCCAGTTGACGGATTGATCAACATTCGATCTGGTAAGGAGCGGGAAGTGATTAATCAACACTTAATCACGGGAAGGGTGCGTCTCAGATTAACACTCTAAGACTGGTTCGGAGGTGCCACTAGATCAACAGTCTAATAGAAGTAGTTAGCCTTCGGTCAACACTACGGCCAGTGGAGTTGTTACCGGATCAACACTCTGATCAACAACTCTGGACGGTTGCCGTTTTTGCAAAATCGGATTCTTCCGTGCGGCGTACTTTGTGTTATACCATTTGCGGCCTTCCATCTCTTCCAGCGCTTATCGATGAGAATGGAACTTAGCGGTGGGAGTCCTACGTATGGAACGCTGGTGGGACGATGGCGATAGCTGATGATGACACGAGGTAACAAAGATGAAGTAACAGACATCTAGCACGCAACGCTACTGGTTTGAAGTGCCATTTGTGTGAGTTTTTAAGGCATGCGTCGATAGATTTCTTTTATAACCTGGTATTATCACAATGTTACTTTGTTGACGGTTATGCTTCGCCAGTTATTTTAGATATTGTTAATAATTGATTTTACGTGGTTATTGAGCAGTTTATGTATCTATTAATATCTTTTAGGCGATTGGTGAACAAGTACCCGTCAACTTAAAATTTGTATTCGAAGGAATGGAAGAAAGCGGAAGTGAAGGTTTGGACCAGTTGTTACATGCCGAGAAAAATAAATTCCTGGCTGGAACCGATTATGTATGTATTTCAGACAATTACTGGCTAGGAACCACCAAACCTTGCATTACCTATGGTCTTCGAGGAATCTCTTATTTCTTCCTAGAGGTCGAATGTGCCGATAAAGATTTGCATAGTGGGGTCTATGGTGGTACAGTGTGAGTATTCACTTAAAAAAGAATAGATAAAATATTTTTCTTTTTGTGTTTCTTTACTAATATATCATATTCCACATTTTGAAAAATCTAAAAATGGGAAAATAAAATATTATCAAAATAAAAAGTAATAATAAAAATTCTTGCAGTGCATTGTAGATGGGGTCACAAGGATCACAAGAAGCCAAGGCAGTAATTCTGGACCCAGTTATGACTGCTTTTTCATTCAAAAATTCAATCATTACCACTACAGTACTCGCGTGTTGCATACCAATATGAATCCTGTGAAAATTTAACCTTTGCCAAATCATAGTTTAGGTGAAAAGAAAATTGCAAAAAATAAATTTTTTAGTGAAAATCGTCCCCATAGCAGTTTTCTACATTTTTTCTTGAAAGATTTAAAAATGCTTCTCTTTAGACTTTCGAAATCAAATTTTGATAAAATTTATTTAAATAATTGAAAAAAACCCGTTGCAATTAGAATTCGCATTAGAATAAATAAAAATGGATTTAGTGATGTAACGAATGTCATTTTTTTAAACATTCGCGAATGCGAATGCGAATATATGCCACCGACATTCGCGAATGCGAAGGCGAATATTCAGTTTTTTTTTTAATTTGGCAATTTTAATTGTCTCCGGCACTGCCGGCAGTCTCATTTGCGCGAGGTGTGTAGGCAATTGGAAAAAGTCTGTCATTTTTAACTGCTTTAAATTGTCCAGTATCATTCTATCATATTTGCTAAAGTAAAGATGTGAAACAGTTGTATTTATTGTAAAGAAGTTTATTGTAGGCGGTTAAGTTTATTGAGGGGTCGTTTAAAAAGGTATTAGTTTTATTTATAGTCACGTCCGGGCCAAAAACGTAGAAAGCACGTTTTTCGATCTTATTTTCTCTTGTTATAATCAAATTTGACTTGTTATAGAGAGAAAGTTATAGCAGAGAACTAAGTTCTCTGGTTATAGTTCCAATAAAAATTTCACGGGACACAAGTCACTCCACTTGCCCTGCTCTGCTCGTGCACAAATACAAGTGAATTTTTAGTTAAAGTGTGATTAGCGATTTATTACTATGAGTAAATCAAATTATAGTGAAATATGGACTTATTTTTCACCACTTTTTGATACTGAACGAGCTAAATGCAAGCTGTGTAATATTCGCAAAACATTCGCACAAATTCTGCGAATGCGAATGCAAATGCGAATATGCAAAAATATGCGAATATTCGCGAATGCGAATGCGAATATTCGTTACATCACTATAAATTCAAAACTTGTCTCACAAGTTGGCTTTCGATATTTTTAATATACCCCACAGATAAACCACAAAATTTGGTGAGAAAATATTAATTAGTTTACGAATTATTTTATTTGTTTATTAAAAAATTGATTTTGCGATTTCAAAAATGTTGTTTTTATCGTTATTTTCAACTCTCATGAAGGCTAATTTTTTCCGTTTCGATTTCAAAAAAATGCGAAATTCGTTTTACCGATATTTTTTTCGCGAATTAAAAAAAAAAAGTTGTTCAGAATCATTTTTAACTGATGTATCCTTTTTTCAATTTATTATTTGTTAACATTAAGACTTTAAACTACGGCAAAAAATCATTCAACCCTTAAACTTATAACTATTACAGATATAAAAGGTATTTTTGTAAAGGAGATATAATTTCGAACTCTATAGATCTTTTGGTGATGCAGATATCGTGAAAACCATGAAAATAAACCGCTTAAGATGGTTGGGCCACGTTATGCGGATGGATGAAACTGATCCTGCTAAAACAACCATGCTAATTAGGCTTGTCTGAAGAAGAAGAATATCTGTACGATGTGCAGCATTTCAAGGATTTAAGGGAGATTGGATTAAGGGGATGGACAAGACAGACACTCGAGAGCGTAGGATGGAGGAATGTTTTGAAGCAGGCCAGAACTGTAGCACCAACTGATGATGATGATGATGCACTTGAAACAAAAATACAATTTGACTGTACTCTATACCACATCTGTATACAGGGTGGTGAATCGGCAAACGGGCCATAGGAAACTCAATGGTAAATTCTAAATTGTTGAATTCCTGCTTCCCTAATTATTTTACACCAAAAGTCATGGGAAACTATTTGTAGAGGACTCAAATATGTATCGAAAACAACTGTTAAAAATTATTCTACGACTTAAACGTATTCCAAAATTTTGCTAAAATATAATACATTTTTCTGTGTAAAAATGTGTATTACGTGTTGCGTTTTGTCGTATTATTGTTTCTGATATTTGACAATATTTAAATCAATTATATTATATTTATCTATGATTTAAATGACCAAAATTTTGTGATTTATTGTTTAAAAAAAATTAAGTTGATTAAAAAATGTACTCAGTTGAGGAGAAAAAAGCAATAATAAAAATGTTTTATTCATGTTTTATTATAACATTTGTTATAGTTTTATGTTTAGAAATAATCATATATTATTATTAGGAATAAAGATCACAGTAACAGTATATTGGAATTAATTGAATTGTTGTATAACTTAACTTAACATGGAATTAAATTTTAGTGAATTAGAATATCTTACGGTAAATAAAGATCCGGTAGTGGCAGGAAAAGGTTCGTGCTATTGCCTGAATACAACACTATGCGATTTTTCGTCAACTGAGTACATTTCATTATATTGATCGATTTGTAAACAATATAATTTATTGTTCACAAAGTAATAATGTTCAGTAGTAGTAGTATTTAGTAAAATTCATTGTTTATAATTTAATTATAAAATAAAAAAATTGACAATTCAAATTGTCAAACATCTGACATTAATATGATAAAAGACAAACGTCCTAATATATATTCTTGCATTACGTGTGGCCTAACTTTTAGGGGTGGTCTGAAAAATGTATCACATTTTTTCAAAATTTTGAAGTACATTTGATTCGTAGAACGGTTTTAACATTTGTTTTTAATTCAGAATTTAGTCCTCTACAAATAGTTTTTTATGACTTTTGATCTAAAATAATTGGGGAAGCAGCAATTATACGTATACGCGCACTATGTCGATTATTCACTTATAGTCTTCTTAAATCAAATGGCGACATTTTTTAAAACGGTTAGTACTATAAGTAAAAAAAAAAAAAAAAAAAAGTACAAAATTTTTTTTCTCAGAGGTATTACCAGAAATAACTGAAGATGAAATCGAAAAATCCATAAACGACATGAAAAGAAATAAAGCGGCCGGTGAGGACAAAATACTGGCGGAATTGCTAAAAGAAGGAGGAGACACGATAAAAAAAAAAATGCTAAAAATACTGTTCAACAAATGTCTGTTTGAAGGTAAAATACCCAAACAATGGAGAAATGTCAACACAATCTTAATACATAAGAAAGGAGACCGAACAAACCTAAACAACTACCGTCCTATTTCCCTTTTGTCACAACTATATAAAACCTTCGCAAGAATAATAAACAACCGACTAACCTATAAACTTGATAACTACCAACCAGTGGAACAGGCCGGATTCAGAAAAGGATACAGCACAATCGACCATCTACATACGCTTAAAACCAATGAATACAACCGTCCGCTGTACTTAGCATTCGTAGATTATGAAAAGGCTTTCGGCAGCATTGAACACTGGGCGGTTGAAGAAGCTCTGGTCAATAGTAGAATAGATTCAAGATACCGACAATTGATACATGATATTTACCAAAACGCAACCATGACCGTAATTCTGGACGACAAATTAATAACGGATAATATAAAAGTTAAAACGAGGTGTCCGACAAGGCGATATAATTTCACCTAAACTGTTTAACTTGACCCTCGAAGACATAATAAAATCAACAGATTGGGAAAACAAAGGAATATGTATTAACGGAAAATACCTAAATCACCTTAGATATGCGGATTACATACTCCTGATCTCCTCGGAACGACAAGAACTGGAATTAATGCTGAATGAACTTCATGAAAAATCACTGCAAAAAGGCCTAAAAATTAACTTCAACAAAACAAAAGTAATGACAAACACGGAAGACCAAGAGGCAATAAAAATAAAAACAGAAAAAATAGAACAGGTAAATGAGTATATCTATCTAGGACAAGCAATCAGAGCTAATAGAGAAAATCAAACAGCCGAAATATCGAGACGAGTAAGAATGGGATGGGCATCGTTCGGCAAACTTTCTTACGTTCTAAAAAATCAAACAATCCCTCTATACTTACGAAGCAGGGTATATAACTCCGTGTAATACCTGTGCTCACCTACGGAGCACAGACATGGACATTTACACAGGCCAATTTGGATAGGATAAGGAAGGCACAAAGAGCGATGGAGAGACAAATGTTGGGTATATCACTTAAAGATAGAAAACGTAACCAGTGGATCAGAACCAGAACAAAGACAGTAGACGCGATAGAACAAGCAGCAAAACTGAAATGGAAATGGGCTGGACACAATGAACGTCTGCAAGACGGACGATGGAACAATGCCATCAGAAAGTGGCGTCCATACAATGCAAAGAGATCAAGAGGTAGTCCACAGATGAGGTGGAAAGATGACATCAGGAAACAAGGAGGTCCCACATGGCAGAGAACAGCTCAAGATAGGGAAAGATGGAGAGAACTGGGGGAGACCTATATCCAACAATGGAAGGATAGAGAATAGGTTCAAAAAAAAAATGCCAGTCGAAGTGTAAATTTGTATTTTGCGCATGCATGAGTCATAGCAGTTTAGATAATCCACTACTTCTACTAGATTTCTTCACTGTTTGTAACGAACTGCCAACGAGGAACGGCTGAAGTCTTATAATGCAATCATGCACAGAAGCGACTCGAGCAGAGTTTGATTATTCTTGGGATACAAACATACCCCACGATAGTGCTCGATGGTTAAATTAGCTTTTAAAATCACTGTTTGATTTTTCATATGGTTAATAAATTTAAATCTACTTTCAATACTTCTTTAATGTAATATCTAAGTATTTTCTGTATTTTTTTGTAATTACGATGTAGTCTTCATGGCATTCTATGACATCACTATTGATAGGAATACTTTCAGTAAAATCTTAATTGTTACCGTAGCTATTTTTTAACCAACTATCTTTTTGGAAGCTATGTGCTTTATGTTCTGCCTTTACGAGTTATAGCATTTAAATATCTATTTTTTAGCCATGAGGCGATGACAGACCTGATTTATTTAATGAACCAACTTGTTGATAAAGACGGAAAAATCTTAGTCGAGGGTATATACGACGATGTAGCTCCAGTAACGGATAGCGAACATGGCATTTATAAGGCAATAGAATTCGACGTCGACGAATACCGCACAAACGTTGGTACTTCCAAACTTCTCCATAACGAAGTCAAAGAAAAAATTCTAATGCACCGTTGGAGATACCCCAGTCTCTCACTGCACGGAATAGAAGGAGCATTTAGCGAACCCGGATCTAAGACTGTAATACCTAGGAAAGTAATCGGAAAGTTTTCTATAAGGATTGTTCCTAACCAAACGCTGAAACAGACTGAGAAACTTGTAGTAGATTACATTAAAAAACTTTGGGCAGCTAGAGACAGTCCTAACAAAATGTCGGTAAGTGTACATTTTATATAGATTATTTTTAGTTCTGTTGTTTAAACCTTTCAGTCATGAATGATAAGTATATTAGATTATAATTTTGTGCTTTGTGATATATACATTATCATTTCTTAGAAATTTCTGGCCCCGGCTAGAATTTTGTACAAAGTGTGTTTTTCGAAATATTGGAACTAAAATATTTGTCGACATAGGAAGACCTGAAAAGCTAATAGATCTAAGTGCCAAAAGTAAAATTATTGGGAAAAGTAAAAAAACTAGTTTTCAACAGAATACCATTTTATTTAAAAAAAGTGGTTTTATTCAAACAAGTTAATGCAAAATAGATGGTTTTGTAATTTTTGTACAGTTTTACAAAAACGAAATAGAGAAAACGCATGTGTTAACCATATACTTTTTCAAACAGAGTTTGAGTCCATTGATAGGTTTCACTTCTAAGAGATCTAAGTCCATTGGTATGTTTTACTTTGTAAAGATATAAGTGCCATCACAGAGTATTTCATAGTAGAAATCTCCGTTTTCTTCATCAATGAAACCTAACATGCTTCCTAAGTCCCTTTTTTTTTTTGTTTTCTGCTAGTGAAACCTTTGTTGGCAGAGTAGTAAAACTCCATGGAAGCTGTGTATTCAATAGAAATATTTTTCTTGAGGACGTAGCATTTTTTGGTCAAACTAATACAGTTCGCTGAAGTTTCTCTTGGTAAGTACGTAGCCAGGTTCGTTTTTATTAATCTTGAAATACGACACTTTGGATATTATTAAATCTTTAGTGTTGATACACATTGCAGATGCTTCGTCAAAGTTAAAAAATACCGGGTGGTGAATCGTCAAACGGACCATAGGAAACTCAATGAGAAATTTTAAATTGTTGAATTGCTGCTTCCCTAATTATTTTAGATCAAAAGTCATAAAAAAATATTTGTAGAGGACTAAAATCTAAATTAAAAACACATGTTAAAACCGTTCTACAAATCAACTGTACTTCAAAATTTAAAAAAAATGTGATACATTTTTCAGACCACCCCTAAAAGTTAGGCCACACGTAATGCAAGAATATATATTAGGATGTGTTTGTTTTATCATTATTAATGTCAGATGTTTGACAATTTGAATTGTCAATCTTTTTATTTTATGATTAAATTATAAACAATGAATTTTACTAAATACTACTACCACTGAACATTATTACTTTGTGAACAATAAATAATATTGTTTACAAATCGATCAATATAATGAAATGTACTCAGTTGACGAAAAATCGCATAACGGCGCGAACCTTTTCCTGCCACTACCCAGTGGCGGCTTTTCTTTATGTGCTGCTGAGCTGCAGAACTACCAAACAACCATAGCAAATCTTAATTATTAAAGAATAATTAATATAGTTTTATTTCAAATCTGCCATATTATCATATTAAACATAAACTGTTAATAATAATTCACCAACAACGATGATTAATATTATTTTTTTTACGTATTTACTCCTCTAGTGAAACCGTATAATTTTTTTACGTATTTGGTGCTCCAGTGAAGCAATCTTTTTACGTATTTGCTGCTCCAGTGAAGCCGCGTCGATAACAACCGAAACACTGGCAGCGGTAAAATGCATTTATTAGGCAAACGGCGATCTTAGCCGATGTGCTTCGGCAATCGGCTGATTAACGGCCTCGGAAATGTGTTTGCGAGCTGCAATTCACGACAGTTATTCGTGACCGTTGCATCTGTGCCGTGTTTAGAAATTCTTAGGTTACAATTTTGTTTAATTTGTTTTGTTCGAGCGTGTTTAAAACAATGGAGTTTCAATTTAAATTAGGTGTAAATAAATTTCAAAAACTTCACTATCAACAACAGTTGATTATAAAAGAACGTGGCCGTCCTATGCCTGATCTTAATATTGAAGTGTCCGGTAAAAGCCGTGGAAAAACATATACGCGTAAATTTAATAAAGACATGTATCTACGAAATCAGTGGATTTGTGGATGTTCCGAAAAAAATGCTTTTTTCTGTTTTCCGTGTGCATTATTCGGCGCAGATAAAGAGGAAAAATTGTGGCGCGAGACAGGAGTGCGGGATCTAGTGCATTTAAGTGAAAAAATAAAGAAGCATGAAAACACGCAAACTCATATGAACAATGAAATGCGATTTGCATTATTTGGGAAACTTAATATACAGGCCCAACTTGACTCTGCTTATTGGATAAATATACAAAAACACAATGAAGAGGTGACGAAAAACAGGTATGTTTTGTCAAAAATAATTGACTGTATAAAATTCTGTGGGGCTTTTGAGCTCGCCTTACGAGGACACGATGAATCTGAAACATCAGATAACCCTGGAATTTTTCGTGGTTTAGTGAATTTTTCTGCTGAACTTGATAAAACACTTAGTGAACACCTTACAAATGCGACAATTTTCAAAGGTACCTCAAAAACAATACAAAATGATATTTTGGATTGCATGCTAGAAGTATACGCTGAGGAGATTTTAAACGAAATCAATGAAGCCCCATTTTTAGCAGTGATAGCTGATGAGACAACGGATGTTTCTATGAAATTTCAAATGGTCATTGTTTTTCGTTATGTAAAAAACGGTGCTCCAGTTGAAAGGTTTTGGACTTTTTTGCTTCCAGAAAAACATGATGCTGAAACCTTAGCTAACACAATTTTGAATGTTTTAGACCCAATATTAAAGAATAACAAAAATAAGCTCATTGCACAAAGTTATGACGGAGCAGCTGTTATGAGTGGGATACATGGCGGAGTGCAAACAATAATTAAGAGAAAATATGAAACTGCTCATTTTGTGCACTGTTACGCCCATCAATTGAATCTAATAATGTCAAGAGCATGTTCTATTAATTCCCAAGTACGCGTATTTTTTGGAGATTTACATGATATACCTGGATTTTTTAGTCATTCACCTCAAAGAATAGCTGTCTTAAATCAAATAGTTGGAAAAAATATTCCTCGTTCAATCCCTACACGCTGGAATTTCAATATTCGTACAGTAAATGTCGTTTACGAATATAGAGACTTTATTATTGAGTGTATGGAGCAACTAGAAGAAGAGTCAAATGCTATTACTTCCAAGGAAGCAAGAGGACTTAGACGTATTCTGGAAGATCAAAATTTTACTTTCTGGCTGACTGTTTTTCATTATATTATGCCACATGTTGACGTTTTGTACAATAATCTTCAAAAAAAGAACATGGACCCAACCGAAGCACAGAAAGCTATACATGTTTTTGAGCAAAGTATTAACAATGTCCGAAATAAAATAGACCCTATCATACATCAAGCTTCAAATTTAAATGCGGCGCCTAGTGTCCAAAAAAGGAAACGCCCAAATAACAGCCAACAGGATCACCGTATTGCCTGTCTAGAAGTTTGTGATGTTATTATAAACAATGCAAAAGAACGGTTTGCATATACAAATCATCTAGTTGCCGCAACACTTTTATCTTCAGAACATTTCGAAAAATATAATAATAAGTTTCCTGAAAATGAATTGGATTTAACTTGTACAGCTTATAACTTCTTTGATAAAAACCGTTTGCGAACAGAACTGTCAGTTTTGTATTCCAATATCGAGTGTAGAACATTAAAAGGTGCAGTGCCTTTACTAAAATTTATAATTTCTAATAATTTAGAGGACACATTAACAGAAACCAAAAAGTTGATACAAATTCTGGTGACTACGCCAATGACCACAGCAGAAGCTGAACGTAGTTTTTCAACTTTAAAACGGATCAAAACATTTTTAAGAAATTCAATGTGCGAAGACAGATTAACAGCCCTTTCCACACTCTCGATAGAAAAAAAGTTCATCGCTTCAATACCGAACTTTAACGATAAAGTAATCGAAAAGTTGCGACAAAAAATGACCGCGTATTAATTCCAATTAGAAAAATGCAATAAATGTAAGTTAATTCAGATTTTTATAGCATGTCGTTATTAGTTACTATTAATTAGTATTAAAGCTAATTTTATTGTTTTTGTTTTCGTATGTTATTCTATTTCTATTATTTTATATTGACCGTGGTTCATGCAGCACACCCTATAGCAGATGTCACGAGCCGCCACTGCCACTACCGGATCTTTATTTAACGTAAGATAGGTATTCTAATTCACTAAAATTTAATTCCATGTTAAGTTAAGTTATAACAACTATTCAATGAATTCCAATATACTGTTACTGTGATCTTTATTCCTAATAATAATATATGATTATTTCTAAACATAAAACTATAACAAATATTATAATAAAACATGAAGAAAACATTTTTATTATTGCTTTTTTCTCTTCAACTGAGTACATTTTTTAATCAACTTAATTTTTTTTAAACATTAAATCATAAAATTTTGGCCATTTAAATCATAGATAAATATAATATAATTGATTTAAATATTGTCAAATATCAGAAACAATAATATGACAAAACGCAACACGTAATACACATTTTTTCACAGAAAAATGTATTATATTTTAGCAAAATTTTGGAATACGTTTAAGTCGTAGAATAATTTTAACAGTTGTTTTCGGTACATATTTGAGTCCTCTACAAATAGTTTCCCATGACTTTTGGTGTAAAATAATTAGGGAAGCAGGAATTCAACAATTTAGAATTTACCATTGAGTTTCCTATGGACCGTTTGCCGATTCACCACCCTGTATATCCATGCTTAGCACTCGGAATGGTCTTGATGGTCTGGCTGATCTAATTACGTTTTCCACATCTTTAACAGTTTGCATTTTTGCTACCTTAGATCTCCTTTCTATAACTGCGAAGTCCCGGGTCTGCGGCAGAAAAGATGTGACCAGGTACCAAGAACTTATGCTCTACAGACTCAAATAGGTCCCAAAGATACTATGTAAATGTACAAGAAAACCAACATACGGTTTTTGACTTGATCACCGCAGTTGTCACTCCATACAACAAGTTTTTTTCGTGTAAGCCGGCAACATACTTGTATTTAAGGCTTGCAATATACAGGAAGCCATCTGACTCCCTCCTCTCCCTGATTGTCCCTTATGCCATACACTCATAATACCATTATTGGTATCGGTAATATGTATATTAAAATTGTAGCAAGATAATTGCCTCCAATAATAAATATCGCCATGTGTAAGTTTCGGAAGGGAGAATACATTTTGAAAATCAATCACCACAAAAACACACTCCACTATTAGGTATTGTGCTGTCAGATGCATCTTTTTTAATGTAGCCTTTTTCACTTTTTATATGATGTAGTTCTAGCTCTGTCTTGGCTTTAGCGGCATCTTGTGGCTGCAGCGACATGTCTGTTTTTGGTCTGAATATGGAGATAGTTGCACGTTTTACAAGTATCTACCCTTGGTCTTTTGAACGATAAATTTGGGAAGTCTTTAAAAATACTTTTCGATAGAATTTGGCACTTTTTTACAACATTATCTGGATATTTCTATTTAAAAGCAGCGAAAAGCCTAGTCATGTTCTATTCATAGCTTAAGTACTCCTTTTGGGACTTTACACGGCCGTAGTGGGGTCACCACCATTATCTTTAAAAACCACGTCACCACTTTTCTTCTTCTTCACAATAAGTGAGATTTTTTGAAGTGAAACTCCAAAAATATTTAAAAGTTTTTTTCCATCAGGTACCCTGTAACTTAGAGTGCTTTGCGTTCGGATGCTTTCTCGCTCATCGTAAGAACCGTATCGCCGTCTGGTAATAGGAAGAATGTCTATCAAACTCATCAAATAAGAACCTTCCAAGTTGGTGGTAGGACTTAACAGTTTCCTCTTCATTTCAAATGAAACTTGATTGTATCTGTTTTTACACTTGCAAATTACCTGAAAAAAGGTAAGGGTATATGTTTTGTATGGTAATGTGTAAAATGTGGATCGAATAGTGATACCGGTAACCAAAATCTATTTCATTATATTCTAATAGGACACTGTTAAGATAAATAAGCTTGTCATCAACAATCTAACATGTACATAAACAGCAGAATGATCTAGATTACAAAATTTTGTAAATAAATATTATACTAACCTCTTCACGCTGCATTGGCTTTGCTGGGATTTCTTTCTTTTTGTTTAGGGTAACATAGGAGTTTACCACTTAATCTGGCGGTTTTTTGTTTCTTCCTGAAGTTCCTACTAATTTCAGATTCATCACAAAAGGCTCTACTAGTATTAATATCTGTAGAAATTTAGAAATATACATCTTTTAAACATGTAAACAATTACTACCCGTGGAGAAACGCACTGATGTACATCTACAAAATAGTTCGTTGACATCTGGCACATAGATCAACTAGCACTTCCATTGATCTGGGACTTGCGCACAGCACATTCCATTGGAATTTATTTAAACCGTTTTAAGGGGCTTGGGCACTTAGATCTTTCAGCAGTGCATTGGCGTCAGAAAATAGATAATTTTGCAGGAATAAAATGAAATTGATAAATATGGCACTTAGATCGATTAGGTCTTTATATGCAACACTATGAATCAATTGAATAAAATCATTGTAGGCATTTGTCTACGCCATGAGTCAATGGTAAAATGAGAATGTCACACAATGAGTTTCTTATATTTAAAAATATTTACAACAAAACTGCTGACGATGATGCAATTTGTAACAATTGTTGATTTTATTTTAACATGGAAAGATGTTAACATTTTAACAAGAAAATAATTTGAGGAAAACTTTAAATGTGCATATATTTGTTTAAAAAATGATTTGAATTGAAATAATTTTTTCAGGTCTATATGAGAGACGGTGGTGATGCTTGGACTGAGGATCCTAATCATCCTCACTACAGTGCTGCAAGTAAAGCCACGAAATACGTGTACAATGTCGACCCCGATTTTACACGCGAGGGAGGTTCAATTCCAGTAACGTTAACATTCCAAGAAGTCACAGGAAAAAATATCGTGCTGTTGCCTGTCGGTGCCGGTGATGATGGAGCACATTCTCAGAATGAAAAGATCGACGTCAGAAATTATGTCAATGGGGTGAGTAATTCATGTTTTCATATGTAGCGTAAATATTATTATAATCATCATTATTGGTGAGTCTCGACCTTCCTAGGCCGATTCGTCTATTCATTCCTATTTTGCGCAGTTGACAACACTGATCTTCTCACTTATACCATTTCTCCATCTTAACCGTGGCCTACTTCTTTTTCTAGCTTTCTTCTTCTATGGCCTGTCCACTATAGGCATCTAATTTTTATTGCAGTGATCATATCTCTGACTTCGGCTAAATTCTTTATACTTATTGTATAGTTCAAGGTTATATCTACGACTCTAGTTTCCATTTTCATCTATTAGACCTAGTATTTTCCTCAAGGTTGTCCTCTTGAATAATAATAGTCCTTTTAAATCTGTGTTAAAAAGAACCCATGTCTCACAACCGTACATTAGAACTGGAAGTATGTCATACTTCTAAAGTGTTCGATTAGCGTGTTTTTTTTTGCATTAGAACACTTTGTGAAGCCTTATGTATGTTGGTTTTGATGCCTTCTTACTCTTGTTCTATGTCGTCTTCCTTATATTTAATTAAATTAGAGAAATGGATTTTATTTAATTAATCTCCAATAGTTTTATAATGTCTTGTGAAAGTGAAGTTTCTGAACTGAAATTAGCGAACAATTTTGAACCAAAATTGTTCGCTAATTTATTACTATTTCTCTTATTTAAAACAAAGTAAATTTTATAAATAATTGTGTTAAATAAAAACAATGATTATATGCATTAATATTTTTTCTTTCTTTCAGCCTAAACTCTTGGGTGCCTACTTGTATGAAGTGGCTCAGCTCTAATATATTTAATGTATTGTTTTTTTTACTATATTTAACTAATATCAATATTTTGTGATATTGTTCTAATAAATAAAGTATTTTTACATCTTGCTTTATTTATTCTTAACTGTCTGAAACTATTCTTAACTGAACAAAAAAGTCAATTCCATGTGAACAGTAACGCGGTGTTAACAATTAAATATTATTTTACATGGGGGGATTAAACCACAATTGATTTTAATAAAAATAATAAATTTCTAATCTGGAAATAATAATAATAAATGTGTTTATGACAGGGGGCTGAGGAGGCGGGCACCTGTCATACAATCAGCTACAGCCCAACAACAAGAACAACCACAAACGAGCCAAACAATACCAAGAGCTCGACTCGCTGAAGGTGCTGCGCTGGAACATCAGCTGGCGCTCACCCAGCGGGACGACCGAGGCAGCGTATGAAATGGACTGCGTCCATAAATGAAAATATTTTGCGCTTCTATTACCAGGTGACAAACCTTGTCAAGAAACCATCCGGTATCGACAAAATCTTTATGCCGAATTTTGTAGGGAGTATCCAGAAATTCATGTAACTGAACAACGAGTTGCTGATCAATACCGTATAATTATAAGAAACAATCTTATCCCAGAGACTAGATGCAATACCATCAGAAGCGAAGTCGAACGGAGATTAATCACCAAGAGGTAAATGTGAATCAAGTCCCTAATGAATTACATGAGCAGATTCTTGAGCTTGCCATACAAGAAACTCAACCTGATAATACAATATAGGACAACAACGAGTTACGCGATACTCTGGTAAACGAAATGGCACGTGCTGTACAAGAGTTTAATGGAACAAATCCACTTAGCAGAACACCGCTACCAAAAATAAACTTCTAAAAAACTAGGTGCTCTGTTACAAATGATGAAGTCGTACCCAATTACGTCGTAGAAGCCCGTACTCTGGAATATTTGCACATGCTTATTTACTGTGCAGCAACAGCTAATGTAATGGGAATTAAGATCAGAACACGACGGGGTACCAATGCCGGAAGGACAGATAACAGAGTAGCACCCTGGGAGAAACGGCTTCTAAACAAGATTATTGCAATTGTAGGCAGTACACTTACTGGTCTTAATTCATTCATGCTTTCTGTAATTTTAGTCTTCGGTAAAGAAATAATAATAAATCGAAATTAAAAAAATATTAACGATTGTTTTTGTAAATGAGTAATGCTTTTATAATTTATATTTTTTTACACATGTTTTCCTGTAACTCTTCAATTTCCAAACATTTATTTTCGAAGTGTGTTTCTTTTGCAGCTCGTATTTTAGCCCTTATCTCCTTATTAATTCGTTTATATATTGCGACATTTTGATTCTTAAATTTGCGTCTTTTTTCATTAGATTCAAAATCTCATCGTTCATCCACTGTTGCTTTTTTAGATTGTTACCTTTAAAGATTGGCATTGAGCTGTTTTGATTTGGTTCCAATGACCCTCGATGTTTTCTTGTTGTTCGTTATTCTCAAAATCGCTCTCTAAATTGTTGGCAATCACCTAACAGCTGTTTCTAATAAAATTCATATCCAGTTTGTTTGAAGTTCGTTGTTGTTTTATCCGTTTAAGCTTTAATTGTAATAATTCAGCTAACAATAGATTGTGGTCTGATGAAATATCGGCACCAGGAAAAGTTTTTAGATTTTACTTCTTTTCTGTGGCGCTCACTGATGGTTATGTAGTCAATTTGATTTCTTACGATATTACGGGGGGTATCTGTTGGAAATTTCCAAGTATATTATATACATATATATATATATATATTATATATATATATATATATATATATATATATATATATATATATATAGCAAAAAATACGACCGTTGATTAAATTTAAAAAATATTCAATAGTTGAATAGCAGAGGTTGTATCGGTCAATAATAGGCAAATGAAAGTCGTCAACTACTTCATTGATTTAATTGAATACGTTTCGCTTTTTTAGTTTTCAAAAGCATCATCAGTTCACTACAAATAAAAATAAAACGATGTAAAATATAAGTAAATAACCAAAAGGGTTCATACTTACAAAAACAATTTGTAGGTTTTTATAAAAGATGTTAAAAACACTCTACGATAACTTAACATTAAAAACTTAAAAACTAAACGATAGAATCGAAACAAAAAACACACAGGAAAAAACTGAAACAGCACTATTGTTTATTTAATTTTTACCGATGGCTTCATCTCAATGTGGGTGTAAGCTCTTTCGAAGATCCAACACAATAATCTCTTGGAATGTTTTCTATCGGTTGTAGGCTGTCATATTTGCACATGTGGCATGTGTCGTCCATACATATGTTTCTTCGGAAAGCAGTGAGGTACAATTATTAAAAAAGTTAGTAAACAGAACGGGGACAGCCCTATTTTTCAAAAAGGAATATTTTTGAAAAACAAACAAAAACAAACAAACCAAAAAAAAAAAATTTGAAAATGGGGAAAGAAGAAGGGGAATGAAGTTACTATCTTGTAAGTTTTTTTTTTTAGCCTCTGCCTTAGAGTACACATGTTGACACATCCGCTTTACAAAGGAGAATCTCTCAATCTACTGAAGTCCATTCTAATTGATAACTCCTATCCGGCATCCATTATCAATAAATTTCTATATTCCAAAAGCTATGGGCAGTCCATCACTGAAACACCCAACGGGCTAACATTAGCGTCCATCTCTAACAGAATACAAATGAATGAGTCCCCTCTCACTCCTGAACAAACCATAAAATATGCTTCGCTCCCGTACTTCCCACAAATCACGAACAAGCTAATCAAACTTTTCCAAAACTTACCTGTCAAAATAGCTTTAAAAAACACCAGAACCGTAGGAAAGTTATTTTCTAAGACAAAAACTCCATTGGCCCCTCTAGAACAAACTAACGCCGTCTATCATGTACCCTGTGCGGAGTGCAACTCCTGCTACATTGGCCAGACCAGCCGTTCTCTTCAAGGTCGACTAACGTCCCATAAAAGCGACATTAGGATTTCAAAACCATCCTGTGCCCTTGCACAACATGCCATTTCAACCAAACACAGTATCGACTTCACTAATACCAAAATACTGTGCAAACAAAAAAATTATCATAAGCGTTCTATCCTTGAAATGTGTCAAATTCTTAAACATCCATCATCCCTAAATAAAAGAACCGACATCGACAACTTGAGCCAGATATATCACTCTCTCATCATACACAACAAATAATAATATATAAAAAAAAACTTACAAGATAGTAACTTCATTCCCCTTCTTCTTTCCCTATTTTCAAATATTTTTTTTTTGTTTTTTTTTTTTGGTTTGTTTGTTTTTTAAAGACAAGCGAGGAGGAAGAGAAAAAAAAAGTGAGAAAAAAATATTCCTTTTTGAAAATAGGGCTGTCCCCGTTCTGTTTACTAACTTTTTTAATAATTGTACCTCACTGCTTTCCGAAGAAACATATGTGACGACACATGCCACATGTGCAAATATGACAGCCTACAACCGATAGAAAACATTCCAAGAGATTATTGTGTTGGATCTTCGAAAGAGCTTACACCCACATTGAGATGAAGCCATCGGTAAAAATTAAATAAACAATAGTGCTGTTTCAGTTTTTTCCTGTGTGTTTTTTGTTTCGATTCTATCGTTTAGTTTTTAAGTTTTTAATGTTAAGTTATCGTAGAGTGTTTTTAACATCTTTTAAAAAACCTACAAATTGTTTTTGTAAGTATGAACCCTTTTGGTTATTTACTTATATTTTACATCGTTTTATTTTTATTTGTAGTGAACTGATGATGCTTTTGAAAACTAAAAAGCGAAACGTATTCAATTAAATCAATGAAGTAGTTGACGACTTTCATTTGCCTATTATTGACCGATACAACCTCTGCTATTCAACTATTGAATATTTTTTAAATATATATATATATATATATTATATATATTTATAATATATATATATATATATATAGTCTATCCTTTTCTCTCAGCATTACGGTCATCCATCAGAAAGGTGAGACCTCTAGTCTTGAGTTGGTTAGTAACAGTTTTTATATCTGCGTAAAACTTTTCAAGTTCTTCTTATCCAATCTGCTGTCGGTACATAGACTTGTATTAAATTTATGTCTGTCTTCTGAGTATACTTCATGATTATCCACATTGCATTGGCCGGGCCACCTTATTTCACTAATACCCAAAATTGATATATGCAGTCTTCTCATCTCATTTATTGCATTATGTATTTTTCCGAATTCATCTAAACTCCGCACATTCCATGTGCCTATTCTACAACTTATTTGGATGTAAAATTGGACCAAGCGGGAGATTCTTCGCACCTGTACTTCATTTAAGAAGCGCCCGTACTCGGAGACATCATTTAGTTCCTCAACCATAATGATATTTCTGGGAAAACAGTGTAGTAGTCATTCCCTTGGCTTTCTACACCGCTGTGTACACGCTCTCGATTTTATCACTTGACGATTCTTACTACCAGGACATAACCTTCTGCCCAAGGGTTTAGAATTTAGGATGTTGATCGCTCTTTAAACGTCCAACAACGCTTATACCCGAATGTAGACTTCTTCTTCTTTAAGTTCCATCTTCTATCGAAGGTTGGAAATCATCATGGCTATGCGGACTCTGTTGACTGCCGCTCTAAAAAGTTCTGCACTACTGCATTCGAACCATTCCCTTAAGTTCTTAAGCCAGGATATTCTTCATCTTCCCACATTTCGCTTTCCTCGGATTTTGCCCTGCATAATAAGTTGTAATAATGCGTATTTTTGCCCTCTTCATCACATGTCCCAAGTACTCAAGTTTTCGTCTTTTAATAGTTAATATTATTTCCGCCTCATTTCCTATCCTTCTAGTTACTTCCATGTTTGACATTCTTTGAATCCATGATATTCGTAGGATTCTTCTGTAACACCAAAATTCAAAGGCGGCCAGCTTATTCAGATGAACTTGTTTGAGTGTCCAAGCTTCCAGACCATAAAGAAGAGTAGAGAACACGTAACATCGAAGCATTCTCAGGCGTAGTTCTAACCTTATATCCCGACAACAAAGAAACTTTTTAATGTAGACTACAACAATGTTATGAAATAACTTTGTTGTTAACAAAATAGAAGAGGAGAAATGGTTTCAATTGACGAACTATTGAAATGTATTACAGACAGGAAAGTTGAGTCAGAAAAAGAGAAAATAATTTGGCTAAAGACTCATCAAATCAAAGTTTTAAAGAGTAAGTCTTTCTTGCTCTACATGAAACCATGTAGAGCAATAAAGACTTCTTCTGTCTCTCCCAACAGGAGAAAACTTACAGATAGTAGATGTAGAAAAAAGATCGACTGCAGAAATCGTTCAAAGATATGGAGTTGGATCAGCAGTTATGACCAACAAGTAAACCACTATGCAAAAAAAAAAATTAAGATCTCAAAGAGATTAAATCCAGTAACACAAAATCTAAAACCATTTTATAATTTCTTAAGAACAACTGAAAAGGGTGACGTTGATGTTTTTAGAGTAGAAGATGTAGAATTCGACATTAATGAAGAAGATTAAAATTATTTGAAACGCTTTTTAAATAATATTAAAATTTTAAATTATTTTAATCATGATCGATTTTTCGAATAAGCTTAAAATAACTGGGAATTAGTATTCAACGTTACTGACCACTCTACTAGAAAAAAATATGGAGAAAAGCTGAAAGTTGCCCAAACGTATTTTGTTTTTGCAAGGCAATGCTTCTGCTTATAAATATCATGTTCCCATACAAATAATTCGTGATTTAAGGTTCGAATAACCACTATTTACCAGATCTGGCTCTGCTAAATGTCTCTCCTTAACTGAAAAAAGTCTAAAAGGTTGTGACTTTTATTCTAACTATAAGGTAATAGAATCTGTAGAGGTCTAGTTTTCAGAATAAGATATATTTTTTTGGAAGGTCTAGAGGTGTAATAGATTTATCCAATTAAGGAGGAACGTATGTTGAATAATAAAATACTGCTTTGTTTGCTTCTATAGTAAGTTAAGAACTTTTCAATACATTTTCATATAATTATATAGTATTTTTTGATGTCTTCGATTTTACTAAAGAAAACAATCGGTGCTATGTATAGTATATTTTATAAATTTATTAGGTACATATAAAGTAACAAATAACATTGTAAAATCAACACTAAACCTAATCCAACACTTATATTACTTGTTGGTTGCTCATCTTATCTTTTTATTTTCTTATTTTGATTACCACCTTTATTTTGATTACTTCGCTTTTTGTTAAAATTTTTATTATTATTATTGGATTTATTAAACTTTTTTCCTTTACCTCCTCCCATGGTCCGACTGAAATTATTTAACCACCTATTTCTGTTTTCTTCCCATGCCAGTTGCTTCATGTCTGAAAATAATATAAAAAAAATAAAATCAAGAATAAAAAAGAAAAAAACTTTTATTTAAAAAAATCCTTTAGTTACATAATTTATTCTAAAAACACACTTTCGGGTAACATCACAGAACGTTTTCGGACGAATAAGTCCATCATCAGAACAGTTACCTAAATAAGTGTCAACCCTTTAATGAAAGCAAACACAAGTATTAAATTTTGACTAAGGTCAAAGAATATGTGGTTGTACACTTACCAGGTATACACGAGTGAAGCAACTAAGTATGTAGTTAAAATACTTTAAATGATGTTAACTTTGTTAATTATTACATATTTGTTGATAAATTTAAATGATGTTTCAAATATATTTACTTCATGACAACGCAAGACTCACAGGGGTTGCTAACCCGAGACAAGGTGTCTTTATGGGTCCTCGATAGATGGCAACTGATTAAAATGACATTTTTAGTTTGCAGTCAATGTAACTTGAAGTGTGTGTCTCAATGTGACGCTAGCCAACAATATGTTAAAATGATTTTATTATTATTTGAAACAACATTGTTATTTAACCTTGTTTAAAATTCAATATTTATGTTTGCTTTCATTGAAGTGTTGACACTTATTTTAGGTAACTGCACTGACGCTGGACTTATTAGTGCGAAAACGTACTGTGGTTTAACCCGAAAATGTATTTTTAGAATATATATACCGTTTATAAAGGATTTTTTTAATAAAAGTTTTTATGATTCACGGTATACAGCCAACTACAGGAATTTCATTTTCCTTTTGGATTTAAAAAGAAATAATAAACTAACGAACAATGATAACGTTAAAGATGAAATACGGAAAAATATATAGCATGCCTGTCGCAGGTGTTTGGATTCAAAGAAATCCATAAGGAAGTAAAGTTCAATACAAATAAAACCATCATACGATCAATAGACGGCGTAGAAACTCGGACCATGATAGAAAAGGCAATAAACCTTATTAATACTTTTGAAAGAAGGATATTGGGACCCATTTGCGACAATGGTATGTGAATCAACTGCTTAATATTTTGAAAGAAGAAAGATATACGCCGCTGAAATGTTGGGAAAGAATGTTACGAATTTCGTGGACAGGCCACACGACAAATAATTCAATTTTCTTCATCTTATTTTAATTTTGATTTTAAATAAGCTAAAAGTCAGCAAACAGCTTTCCAGGAAAGTTCATTTACAACAATTAAAATACTTTGGACATGTTATGAGAACAGATACAGAAAATATGGAAATATGCAAGGAAAGGTAGAAGGCCGAAGATCACGAGGAATAACAAGATGGATCGACCAGATTACACGAATATGTAAAAGACCTAATGAGTTAAAAGAAATGACCAGAGATGACTCGCTAGACCAAGTAAATCATGTAAATATCGATGAAATATGTTCTTACTCGCATTATCCTTATTTGCAAACGCATTAGACCCTCCAGGTTTGAATTTGGAATTGCCCTCATCTTCGAGAAGTGTAGCAAATTCTTCAGCAGAAGCAAAGTTTGACATAATATCGCCCTTCTTCTTTGCGAACTTTTTGAATTTATGTTTACCAGGTTTTTCTTCTTCATCTGAAAAATCTATGGCCTCATCATCTTCCTCGTCACTTAGATCTCCTAGTAACTCTAAAATATAGAATAAAATTGTTAATAAATATATGTAGTTATGAGTAACACAATAAATAACCTTTATCATCATCATCCATATCTAAATCTTCGTCATCCAAGTCTCCATTATCAAATTCTTCATCATCAAAATCGTCCATATCGTCATCATCCTCTTCTGGTATATCGTCACTGTCTTCTTCATCATCCTCGCTCTTTTGTTTCTCTGAAATTAACAGTATGTTTAGAGATCAATAATTATTAAGCACTTTATTAAATTGAGAAGTCCAGTTTGAAAGTGTTAAATATTGAAATACTATCAAAGACATAAATCTTAATACAGTTTTTATAAAACATCAGAATTTATACTTACTTTTCTTTTTACTGTCTTTTTGCCTTAGGTTTTCTCCTATTTCGTTTAGATAATCGACATCTTCCTCATCTTCTTCTGCCCCGTCTTTGCGCCCAGATAGTTTGTCCAACATTTCTTCAAATTCATCACTTTGTACAGATTCCAAATCGCTATCGTCTCGTTCAGTTTCGCCCCTTTCTTGATATCTTTGTTGGAGATATCTGTAAAATGTATTTAATTGGTATAGTATAGTGGTGTATAATAATTAGTATAATGTATTTGGTAATAGGGTTTTGTCAAGAAAAAAAAACATTGTGACTATCACGGAATGTTTCACATCTATATCATCTAATAATACACTTTTTTTTAATAAAGTATTTTGTAAACGGTTTCCGAAAAAAACGAATGAAATTCTTTTAAAAATTTTTTTTTAAATATACAGTGCTTGTATACAAGTGACGAATGAGCAGTCAAACAGTATAAAATGGTGAAAGTCCCCTTTTAGTCTTCAGTCAGGTCATTGATTTTGTATTAAGATATTGTTAAAAATGTTTTACACAAATTTTCTAAAACAATATTTACCAGGCCTCGATCTATAACCTGTGGTAGTCCAAGACCAATCCCAAAAACACTCTGGTTTATCAAAAACCAACCCATATCAATTGTTACTTGCATGTCAACCCTCATCATCCACCTTCACAAATTAATTCAGTCTTTAATACCCTTGCCTCCAGATCAATACGCCTTTGCGATGATGCAAGTAGACCCGTTGAGATCTCTAGTTTAAAACAAGCCTTCATCCGAAACGGTTACCGCAAAAATCACATAAATCTCCCACTCAATCTTAACCCAAAGACTCAAACCCTCATCTTACGAAAGCTTTTCTACCTTACATCAAAGGTGTCACTGAATGAGGAATGAAGACAATATTTACCCCCCAACAAAAACTTTTATTTCTTGTCCGATCAATCAAAGACAACATTCCAAATTAACAACACCCAGTTTATGAAATTCCTTGTGCGGACTGTCCTTGATCCTATATAGGCCAAACAAATCGTCGAATCCAAAATAGGATTAAATTCAATTTCAGCTCTAGCTCAACACAATATTCACACAGGTCACAAAATTTATTTTCAACACTACAGAACCATAGACCCCATCCATTTCTATAAGCCAAGAATTATCCGAGAAGCGATAGAAATTGAAAAAAGGCCAAATTGTCTCAATAAAAGAGATGTCGGCATCCGGTTACCTTCGACATAAGACCTCTCATTAAGAAAATATCGTCCGCTCAATCCTCCAATTAAAATCCCTCCGTCAGAAATGTTCACGCCAACCTCCACCCAAACTACATCTCCATCGACGGTATAAATAAACCGTCCTCTGTTCCCAGTAGCAGTAATGCATTGCTTAGCGATCAATGTAGTAGTGTCTGGGGGCTCGGTAGACTGAGACCTCGGAAGCCCTGAAGAAGACATCAAAGAGTATGTCGGAAACTTGGCTTATTAATTAATTCGGTTTAATTCTTGTAATAGTATTAATTTTAGCTTTATTGCTAATTGTAATCTTTCAGGACAATCGAAATTGAGCAATTTTTGGACTAAATGCTCTAATTTATCAAAGAAATATAATGGCTAATACTTACGTATGTACAAATAGTTCATCCACAGGAATATTTGCAGAACTTTCTTTAGCATAACTAGCAGTCTTGACCGACATCGCTTTGACTCCTTTGGGTCTATATAACTTCCGTTTTCCAAATGTTGAATCTCTTCCGGACGTTTCGGATACTTTCTTCGGATTTTTAAAGACAAACCTCTCCAAAAATCTTATCAAAGTAAAATCATTCAACGGATCACCGTTGTATGTAACTGTTTCGCCGTTAATAATATTGCTGGCAAAGAGGGCAACAGTGGGATGGAAATGATTTTTAAGATTGTACAATTCTGTGTACGCGCAAAACTCTCCACCACCATATAAAGGATTTCTGGCCAAAGGATTGTATTTTATCACAGCACCTTTTTCTTTTTTAACTGTGTTTTTACAGTGATACCAGCCAGCTGAAGTATTTAGGGATGCGTTGAGGATCTCAACATCTGGTTTTATATCCTCTTCTTCTTTGATTTCGATGGTTTCGACCATTGTATTTATTAAAGGGGTTGATTGATTTTGCTAAAATAAAAAAAGCTTTAAATGAAAATATATGAAAAAGTATAATACATTATGAAAAGTACATCCTAAAATTAGCAAGTGTGCGTGAGTGTTAACACTAAAACAAAAATAGACGGAACAAATAGTATCAGTACTGAAAATAGATCGTCAATAAAAGTGATAGTTCGGCAAAAACTGAAACTAGATGGATTCACTGTACACCAGTAAACTGGATAGTGAGTCTACAGCAGATAATTCGTTAAAAGCCTTTAGTTTTAGACTCCGCAGGCTGAGGTGTAATAATAATAATACCCAATTAAAAGGTAGAAACAATGTCATAATTTTAAATGGAAAAAAACTAAACAAAATTACAAAAGAAAAATGGCAACAATACTTAAATACATGCCACCATCTAGAAGTTTTACACATCGGATGGAGAATAAGCCACCCTAAATTGAAAACAGTTTGTCAAAATAACATAACATAACAAAAATATTTATAAGCCTACCAATCATTTTGAATTTTTACATCGGGTGGAAGTTAAGTGAAACAAAACTACACAGTGCTTCATCACTGTATCTCAAATGGTTGGCGATAAAAGATGAGGAAGACCGAAAGAACTATAACAGATACAAATATATAGTAAAAAAGGAAATTAAAAAAACAAAAAACATAACCTGGGACAACAAATGTGCAGAAATAAGCTCAATGGTAGGAGGATCTAGGTCCAGACAAGCTTGGAAAACTATCAACAGTCTTAGAAAAAATACAAACCAAACAAAAAAAATAAACCCCATAGACATAGAAAGATGGAAAAATTATTACGAAAATCTATTAAATGAACAACGTACACAGTTTCTAGACACACATATAGATAGAGTTGAAACGGGGTTAAATGAAGTGGCGATGATTACCGTAGAAGAAATAAAAAACGCATTACAAAAAATGAAAAATAATAAAGCTCCTGGGCCGGGTGATTTACCAATCGAGTTATTCAAACATGCCACTGCAATAACATTAGAATTGCTTTGTAAAATGTTTTAAGTGCCTACAAGGAGAAAGTATCCCAAGAGATTGGAAAGTCTCGTACATAAACTCCATCTACAAAAAGGGAAACAGGAATGACTGCAGTAATTACCGAGGTATCAGCATTACGTCATTCCACTGGCAAACTGTATGAAAGAGTTCTGAAAGCCAGAATAGAAAAAGAAGCCACAGAGATCGAAGAACAAAGTGGATTCCGACCAGGGAGATCTTGTGTCGACAATGTATTTACTCTCAAACATCTAATAGAAAAGAGATTAGCAAGAGGACTAGAACTTCATGCCACTTTTATAGATTTCTGTAAAGCGTTTGACTCCGTACCACTGCAGAGACTATGGACAACATTGGAAAACGCAGGTATAAATGCAGTATATATAAATGCCGTGAAAAAGCTATATCAAAATAACCCAGCTTATATTAAGGTTGGAAACCAAATTTCCAAGGGTTTCACCCAAACAAAGGGTGTCAAACAGGGCTCTTGCCTCTCCCCAACCCTATTTAAAATATATCTTGGTAATGCTTTAAAATATTGGATGAGAAAATGCAGCCCAATGGGCATATGGGTAAATGACACTCCTATATACACAATCCTCTTCGCAGACGACCAGGTAGTTCTTGCCGAGGACCTACAAGATATGACGTACATGATAAACAAACTAATAGACGAATTCAAAAAATGGGGATTAGAGGTTAATACCGAAAAGACACAATACATGAATATAGGAGGCATCGGTCAAGACATGGAAACAGAAAGCGGATTAATTCAAAACGTTGAACAGTACGAATATCTCGGAGTTACACTAAGCGAAGACGGGAGAGACGACAAAGATATAACAAGAAAAATAGGAAAAGGAAAAAACATGATAAAAACACTACATCCGATCCTGTGGAATAAAACTTTAACTAAGAAAACAAAGAAAAATATATATCAGGCTATGATTCAGCCGGTGCTGGCGTATGGGTCAGAAGTGTGGGTCTTTAACAAGAATATGTCACAAAAACTCCTCTCAACGGAAATGATGTACTGGAGAAGATGTTCCAGGTTAACTTTGTTTGACCACATAAGAAATGAAAACATAAGAGAGAGAATAAAGTAAAGAACACAATAATGGATACGATAGCCGAAAAACAATTAAAATGGTATGGACACCTGAGACGGATGAACGAAGAAAGGATACCACGAAAGGTTTGGAACTGGAGACCTACACAGAGAAATAAAAGGGGAAGGCCAAGAAAGAAATGGATATCCAATATTCATATAGAAATGAAAAATAGAGGTCTTCAAGAAGGAGACTGGGCCGATAAGAAATTATGGCGATTGGGATGCGAGAAGCGACAAAATTGAAGTTGCAAACACTCGCTATATATATATATATATATATATATATATATATATATATATAATATATATATATATATATATATATATATAAAGGAATTTTTAAAAATGCCTTTATAATTTTGATCGACACCGTTCTTCAGGCTATAGCTTCGGATCTTCATGCAGTAGTTTTGGATCTTCAAGGCCACAAGTATTTTTAAATTTAAAAGAGATTTAAAAAATCCTAAACGAGACTGAAAATAACTGTATACAGGTTGTGACTCGACAAGTTTTGATTAAAAGTAATAACAGATACAGTTATGTTAAAAATCTGAAATTACGAAGCTGTAGATTTTGGATGACGCTGAGTTGAAATGTGGCACTGGTCTACCGGAAGTAGACACATCAGGCTTTGTTTTTTTTTTTTGTTTAATAGAACCTAATTTTTATTTTATTTTCGAATTCTACAGCACAGTACCAAAATTGTAGAAACTGACTCATCTTTTCAATGTAGACATAAGGTTATCCCTGTAGATATAAGGTTATCCTTGTCAATTAATATATTCTGAGCATTAATCACAATGGCAAAATTAAAAATATTTTAAGTGTGTTAATAAAGATAAAAAATAATGTCTAATGAAATTACCTCCAATTTTTTAAATTCCTCGTCGTCAACTTCCTGTTTAATTTCTGGAACCTCTTCATTTTCCTCCTTCACGTCTTGATATTTTTCTTCGTCGTCATCGTCGTCGAAACTTATAGGTGCACTCTGTTTTAATGTCAGTGCTCGAAGGTCTTTTTTCTTATTCATTAGCTGAGATACTAAGAATAATATTCCACATGAAAAACAGGGTTGGGTAAAAAGAGCTATCTGTAAATAAAATTGGAATTAGAACGTTTACCGGTTGAGTTTACCGAAAGTACAAGCTGATTATAGCTGCAAATGTCAAACAGAACAAAAAATTTCGGTTTAGCAGTGTTGGCATGTTTTTATATTATATAAGCGGTATGCTTCAAATATAAAGAGATAAAGCTTTGGAAAAGTTCATTTTGATAATATTATGTTATGAATTCTGCAATTTTTGATTTATATAAAACAAGAATGAGTAAATATTTGTTTCTTTGAAGATTAATTGCAGTCAATTATTAGAAATTTTTTTGGCAATTGCTTTTTGATATATTAGTAGATAGATTTGGCAATCGTCAAACAGCAGTTGCCAGATTGCAACAGATGTTAGCAATAATCTCGAAAGAAACAAATATTTACTCATTATTGTTTCATATAAATTAAAAATTGTATTGTAAAATTGTAAAAATTCATGAAATTGTATAATCAAAATGAATTTTTTAAAAGCTTTCTATCTTTATATTAGAAGCATACAACATATCCATTATAAAAACATCCAAACACTGCCAAACCAAAACATTTTATTTCATGGTTGACATTTGCGGCTATATTCAGCTTGTACTTTCGGTAAACTCAACCAGTTTACCATAATATATCGTAAGTGATATGACAATACCTCCTATCCGCTGTAACATGAGTTTTGTAGGTTGTAGGAGAGACGAAAAACCTTTTTTATGGTCAACTCCTGTTTTCATATATTTTTTGACTTGTTTTGTAGTAAATTCATGTAAAAATATATGTCTAGAAAAAATCAACTGAAAGTTTTAAATTAATTTATTGTAGTTAGGAGATATTGTCAGCACATTTTCTACAGGTAAGAGATATTGCACGGATATTTTGGTTCAAAGCTGATGAAATGGAAGACATTGGCTGAAAGATATTGTTTAATTGAAATTGGAAAAAATATTGGTCAAATAATTAAAAAAAATATTTTACAATACAAATGCAAAAAATGACATATTCTTAATTGTTCTCATAAGGAAAGTGAGTCATAATAGGCATAACAATCCTTAGAAATAACATTTTTTAGTTCTTGTAACTGCATCAATTTCTTCTTTGTTAATTTCAACTTTTCTCTATAAATCTTTGGATGTTTTATGGGAGCCATTGTTTTCAATCTACAAGGTATATTGCGCCAAGGATTATCTGATTACCTGAATGATTTCCTCAGTACTATAATTCATGACTTCTATATCGTTCACTTAAGGATCTGCCGTTGATCTACCAGGTCTTATAGATTTGTAGCACTGATGTTCCTCCAAAGAATAAGAATAATTGTCAAAAAAAGTATATTCTAATTATTTTCTATATTTATATGATGTTGGATTCAATCTTGCTTCTTCAGTCGCTCTTAGAAAATCATCATCATCATCATCACGTAGCGCTACAACCCTAGGTGGGTCTTGGCTGACTGTACAACTTTTTTACAATTTGTTCGGTCTTCCATCATCCTAGGGTCAAATGGAATGAAATGACCTTTTTCAATAAATTTCTGAGTGATTGGTAAATTGTATAGCATCGATAAATTGAGTAGTGCATTGGCTAATACTGCATTCTGGTTTTGGAAGGTGCAAACATCGCTGTATATATTATAATTGGTATTTTCAAAGGCAAACAATGTTCTTTTAAGTAGTCCACAGATGTATGATACAAAAGTGATGGACATAGATCGGCATCAATCGGTAAATCCAACGTTATCATAATCACCTCATTTCGTTTAGTCATTCATTTGTCACGTTCCTTCTCATGTCTTATCTTTTCTTTCATTGCAACATGTTTTTGCCAAGCTTCATTATTCAAATTTCCATGCACGTGTTCTACATATAAATTATACTGATCTTTCTTAGGCTGGTATAAGCCAGGGGCGGCTCGTCGGGGTAGGCAAGGTAGGCGCCGCCTAACTTCTTCAAATGTAAAATAATAAATTATTTATTTTTATAAATTACTTATTTAAAACTTACTATTCCGACACTGTTACTCACAAATTTTAAGGACTCAAAATGGAGGTAGCATAAAAAAATTTCCAAATGCCGAAACCAAAAAAACACCACAAATTCTAGGTGAGCTACTGATATATATTAAAATATATCTGTCGCGTGTCGCCAATCCGCATGCTGCAAGTTATTCATTTTGAAATATTTCTCAGATACAAATATCACTAAAGCTTTAGTTTGTTCTTGTTGCACTCTTCTTCATAAATCTTAAAAACTTCTTATAGACGTAAAATTCTCCTCCAGATAAAGATTATTGGAATCTTTCCTTACATATTATCGATAATTGTTTAAGGAGTTTTTATCTATTCTGGACTTATTCAAGTACTCAGTTTCAGGTTGCATTGCGCATTTCGATTATTTTACCCAATTTTGGACGGTAAAAGATTCTAACGGAAGAGTATTAAAAAGCATGGTTCTGCAGACAGTAAGTTTCTCATTTGCATCGGTTAATGAGTAACATAGAATGGCCTCTCTCTTGCTTGAGTCTCCTTCTGTCGTTGACCTAGCTACACAATATCTTTCGACATGCGAACAAACTTAAATTTTCCGTTGGTCCCATTTTAGCTTGTCCCATAAGGAATTGAACATTTACATCCTCACTTCTGTATACTGTCTTCAGTTTCGCTTGGAGGATTTTTCACATAGTTTAGAGACACAGGTGGGTCCCGATTTTCTTTCATCTCTTTTGGTATGATGCCGAAATACATTATCTCTAGTAAACCTAACGTAAGCCTTACCCTTCATCCGTAGCATTTTATTTTTATTTCGCTTCCATTTCCTTTGATCTGCATTCTTCTTCTTTTTTTTTTTTTTTTCTTCATCCAAATTTCCACAATCAGGAACTCGTCATATTATGATCCTCTGTATTGGATATCTGCTCATTTTCGTCTTCAGGCATTGTCAATTGAAGGTCTGTAGTTTTGTCAATGTTTTCTTCTGCATTTTAAATTAGCATTTCATCATTAGATTCAACGCTATCTACGACTTCTAGTTAGACAATGCCTTCAAAATTATCTGAATCTTCTGTTCGGAAATTGATTCTTCATAAATATCCATAGGCATTTGTTCAATTGAAGTTTCATCAAAAACTCCCGAGTCTGTTCTATTTTCTCTATTTTTTTGACTTCGTTTTCTGTCAGGAGTTGAAGAGTCCTGGCGACTCTGGACACAGGATACATGTATTTAAAAGAATACGTGGAGAAATGTGTAGTAATAGAATATACCACACATGAATGAATTCGGCTGATATTGGTTTTAGATTGAGCTTTCTGATAAATACAGATTGTGATTGAATTAGAATGGTGATTGAATAAGTTGTACTTACATGTTTTCCAGTAGTAGTATTATTAGATAAAACACCAATAAAATTATTCAGGTGGTTTAGTTTTAAAGATTCACTAGGTGGAATCACAGGAACTATGTTCACATGAACACTCAATATGTAACTATGGAGCTTATGTCAGCTGTTTTCACATCCAATGAGATAAGAGGTATCGTTTTCATGTTAGGAGATATTGCTGTGATATGCGCAATTAAATTTTAGAGAGAATGCACCAATAACTTATTTTTCGTACAAAAGTGTAGATAGGAGGTATTGACACATCACCAACGATATACTAGGAGAAGATATTGCTGGGACATGCGCAATGAAATTTTAAAGATAATGCACAAAATAACTTATTTTTACTATTTTTCACCGACGATATACTATGTTTAGAAAGTATATAGAATGTTCTACATTTTTATTTTTAAGTGCGTTTTAAATAGAAAATTTATAGTCTGTTTAAAAATATTTTGGCAGAATCATTACCGGAATGAACAACACGAATCTTATTACCACGCCTTAGCTGAAATAACGTACCTGCAAAAGTCGCTTCACGAACATTTTTATTCTGTTTACTTCTTTGTCCTTTAATAAGGCTTTGTATATTAAGCTCAAGAGCATTGCTCGATGAGTGGTAGTTAGTAGACTTGGATCGAGTAGTTTTCTATAAAGTGCCCCATAAAATCTAAAAATAAATGTAATTAATTAAACAACGTATTTATGAAAATTTATAACTGATTAGGTAAAAACAAAGCTCCATTAGCTATATAATAATATATTATAACGGTGACGAGTACGAAAAATGGGATTTAACATATTTAAAATAAATATTTAAAAGTATCCGAATATCAAAAAAAGTATCCGGATGCAGGATACTTTCAAATTTGATCACGGATACGGTTACCGGATACAAAATTTAAAAAGTATCCACGTACAGCTTTCGGGTACATAAAAGTATCCGGATACAGAAGTATTTGGATACTACCCAGCTCTGCTAACTGGAATGTTTAAGATTAGAGAAACATAATATGTCATGTTTATTGGAAATACTTGATATCATTAGAACGTGCAAATCCTTCCCTGTCACCTAATTTCATATGAAATTAAAATGGTGCATGTTTTTAGGGTCCATTTATTTTTTCGAGCATATGTATTTACGAAGCTCACGAGGTTCTGAAACATTTCTACAGATTCACATATGATTTCACTACCAGCGCTCGTTGCTGCACTATGCACACTTATCTGATTCCTCATTACCTTCAGTAGCAGTGTGAGAAAGAATGCATACACATTTTTCTGTTTATCTGTTTACTGGACAAATAGGTGCTCTGATTTAATTCTATTTTCAATTGGATGGTTGGGATATAGGTGTAGTATAACAGAAATTGATCCGAGTGAATCTGGGAGGATAAGTCTTTTGGAATATTGTAATTGTTAAGTATTTGAGGGCTTGATATATTGCATAAGTTCTGCAGTAAAAATAGTGGTCTGCAAAGAAAGTTTGAATATAAAATAATTTTTTAAATTGTATGGATCTAGTGTTGCCCAAATGCAAGACCAAGACGAGACTTCAGTCTTGGTCTTGCGCCAATACACCTGGTCTTGTTCTTGGTCTTGGTATTGCACTCCCGGTCTTGGTCTTGCAGCAAGAGTCTTGCAAGTCTTGCAGGTCTTACAGTTACCATTGGCCTATTGCTATTTATTAAACGTTACTTTAGATCATAGAACAACGTAACAGAGCAAGTACATTTTAAGCTTGAATAACCATAGCCATAATAAAGACCAACCAAATTAATAAATGTCTAAACAACTGACACCGAGTAGGATTTGAAGCATAGGCACGGATCTAAGAGATCCGTGCTTAAGCTCTAATTAACTCAGCTATCTACCATGCCCCACAAAAGTCAATCTGTTTCTTAATAAACGTTTGCATTATTTAATAGACTTACATGTGCTGAAACATGGTTAAAACACACAAAAAAACAAATTAATGACATAAACTTGACTGTATTTTAAAGAACATTATCTGCCTAGAAAGGGATTGATGGACCTCCCATCATATATGAAATGAAAATCTTAAAAAAGATTGGTATGTGGCAAAAAATCCACATACATGTATTGTAGTCTTATTTGAATTTCGCGCCATTGGCAGATCTGATTGTCACTCAATTTGAAAAAAAAGAAGATAACCACACACTTTATGTTTAGACTTGACACTTGTGATTATGAATTATGGCCATCTGAATGTTATGAAAACTATTATGTCGAATTATGTACAATCAGTGTTTCTTTCCGCTAAATAAACTTAAGAAATCTAGAACAATATTATTTATTAACGGAGCCTACAGAATCAGAAGTGGGATTACGTGGATCGCCGATATTTTTGCAGATTTAAAAATTGTGTTTAGTATTGACGATAGCCATGCCGGGATCAGACACCGAAATTGAAAATACAAGTGGAAACACCGTCGCTCAGGCGAGTATAGCTGAAATTGTTCATACAGCGGTACAGGCAATCCTCGATTATGCAGAGAAAAAGAAAATTGCCGGTCCAGAAAATCAGATGCCGACACATAACCCCATAAAAATTACTAACAGTGAATTATCAAATTTAATGCCGGAATTTTCAGGCACAGACAAAAGCCAGAATGTTGCAATATGGTTAGAAAGAATAGAAAAAATCAAAAACTGTGTATAATGTTCCAACTGATATTTTACAACTGTTAGTCATTGGAAAATTGACCGGAAAAGCGAAGGAATGGTACCTCAGCAAACCAAATTTAATTTCCACAGATTGGACAGGTTTAAAAAATGAAATTAGGAGAATGTATGGGAGAACTTATGATCCAGTGTCGTCGAGAAGAAAGATGGAGACTAGAAGGTGGAAAAAGAGTGAAAGCTTTTCAGCATATTTCCATGACAAACTGTTACTGGGCAACGAAGCAGGAGTTGAGGATGAAGATATGATACATTATCTGATTGATGGGTTTGATGATCGCCTACTTCAAAATCAAGCCAAAATGATGTTATCCACACTCAATAGCACTGAAGATTTATATAAGTTAATGGGGAGTGTTGTTAAAGATGAGGTATCAGGAAGTGGACAAAGGTTTGCTACAGCATCAAGTTATAGGGTAAGTTCTAGCCAGAACCAACCTCATACAGCAACACAGGGTCGGATGCCAGTTCCTGTAAAATGCTTTAATTGTGGTCGTACCGGACACCAAAGTGACAGAGTGCAGACAAGCCAAGCGTGATAGGGGATCATGTTTTAGATGTGGAAGCAAAGATCATATGGTAAGAGACTGTCCTAATAGAAACCAGCAAGTGGTGCAACAAGTTGCAGATTCAACTACCCGAGATAGTAATGGAGCCATGGGTCTAGTGGAACGTCCTATGAGCCAAACGGATCCTTTTGTATTAAACCTGGTTCTAGAAAAGTATAGCATAACATTAAATGGTATAATAGATACAGGGAGTCCAATATCATTGATATCAGAAAATTTTGTAAAGGCAGAAGATATTATTTCTTCTACTAATATTGAATCTTATTCAGGTATAAATAAATCTCCTTTAAAAGTGTTAGGGTTTTTTTATGACACAGTTATTTTTGATGACATATCAGTAAATTTAAAATTTTATGTTGTTGAGAAAGATTCTTTTAGTTGGAATCTACTTTTGGGTCGAGATTTTATAAACAATGAATCCATAGAAAATATAAGTTTTTCAAATGGTTCTTTTAAAATAAATAAAAACTCTTGTGTACAAACAGAGGAGGACTATCAGTTTCCTTTTACAGATGTTTTGTTTATTAACGATATGGTAAATTTAGATGCAGACTTGAATATTAATTATTGTTTACCTTTTGAAATAACTACTAGTGTTCAAACTTTATTGAAGTCATATTACTTTGATTATGATAAACCATTAAAACCACAGTGTGATTTCAAAGCACAGCTTACTTTAACTAAAAATGAACCTTTTAGTATCAGACCACATAGACTATCTTATGCAGAGAAAAAGTCGTTGGATGAAATTCTTGCTAATTTATTAGAAAATAATGTCATTAGGGAAAGTGATTCACCTTTCTGTTCACCTAGTAGTATTAACCAAGAAGAAGTCAAATGAATATCGAATGTGTGTAGACTATCGTACTTTAAATAAATATCTTATTAGAGATCAATTTCCCTTGCCGCTAATAGATGATCATTTAGACAGGTTAAAGAATAAGATAATATTTCTCTCTAAATTGGATTTGAAAAATGCTTTTTACCATGTTCCTTTAGATGAAAGTTGTACTAAGTATACTTCATTCGTTACATCCTTCAGGTCAGTATGAATTTCTTAAATTACCTTTTGGTTTGAGCTCAAGTCCCTCTATTTTTTGCAAGGTTTGTTAATAAAATTTTAAAGATTTGTGCCAACAAGGAAATGTTTTTAATATATTTTGATGACAATATAATTGCTACTCAGACTATCGAAGAAAATCTAGAAGTGTTAAGAGAAGTTTTAATATTAGTTAGCCAGAATTTACTTGAGTTAAGACTAGATAAATGTTCATTTTTGAAAACAGAAATAGATTTTCTGGGTTACAGGATTAATGAAAATGGTATATGTCCTAATAAAGATAATGTGAAAGCTATTGCAGAGTATCCAGTTCCTACAGATACCAAGCAGATGCATAGATTCTTAGGCCTTGCCAGTTATTTTAGACGTTTTATACAGAACTTCTCTATCATCGCCAAGCCGTTATATGACCTATTACGAAAAAATGTCAAATTTGAATTTACAATGACACATTTACAAGCTTTTGAGAATTTGAAGTCAAAACTGACATCAGAACCTATTTTAGCAGTTTATGATCCGAGTAGGGAAACAGAACTACACTGTGATGCAAGCCAAGTAGGCTATGGATCAATTTTACTTCAGAAACAAAGTGATGACAAATTTCACCCAGTGTTTTTCTTTAGCAAGAGAACAACTGACTATGAGTCTCGCTACCATAGCTACGAACTTGAATGCTTGAGTATTGTGTATGCACTTAAACGGTTTCATGTTTATCTACAGGGAATCCCTTTCAAAATAGTTACAGATTGTGACAGTTTTCGCTTAACCATGAGTAAAAAGGATATAATTCCAAGGATTATGAGATGGTGTTTGTTATTGCAAAATTATGATTACTCTATTGAGCACAGAGTGAAATACAAGAAAGCAACATGTAGATGCCTTATAGCAGAGTGAGTTATGTACTGGTATTAGAAGGAAATACTATTGAACAAACTTTGGCTTTAAAACAGTCCAAGGATACAGTTATTTCAGATCTTCGAAAAAGACTTGAGGAGACAGATTCATCCTTTCTTTGAATTAAGAAATGGGTTAGTATATAGAAAACTGAAAGATAACATTGCATTTTATGTACCAGAGAGTATGGAGTCAGCGGTTATCTATCACTATCATAATGAATTGGGTCATTTCTGAACAGACAAAACATTTGAAATTATTTCCAAGACATATTGGTTTCCAAAATTAAAATTTAAGATTGGAAATCATATTCAAAATTGCTTAAAGTGTATTGAATTCAATCCTAAAAGTGGCAAATCAGAAGGATATCTACATAGTATACCTAAGGGCAATTTACCTTTTGAAATGCTTCATATTGATCACTATGGGCCATTAGCTCCTTTT